TCTAAAAGTCTAACATATGTAATATATATTCAGTTGCCTGAAGAGAAACATAAAAAATCCTTTCTTAATATTGTTTCCATTAATAATGGAAATTTGTTACCTGTACACATGAAGCCATTGTATATATTCACATTTTAATACTTTTTATGTATTTCAGGGTGTTGATGATGCCTTCTATACATTAGTTCGAGAAATTCGAAAACATAAAGAAAAGATGAGCAAAGATGGTAAAAAGAAGAAAAAGAAGTCAAAGACAAAGTGTGTAATTATGTAAATACAATTTGTACTTTTTTCTTAAGGCATACTAGTAAAAGTGGTAATTTTTGTACATTACACTAAATTATTAGCATTTGTTTTAGCATTACCTAATTTTTTTCCTGCTCCATGCAGACTGTTAGCTTTTACCTTAAATGCTTATTTTAAAATGACAGTGGAAGCTTTTTTTTTCCTCTAAGTGCCAGTATTCCCAGAGTTTTGGTTTTTGAACTAGCAATGCCTGTGAAAAAGAAACTGAATACCTAAGATTTCTGTCTTGGGGTTTTTGGTGCATGCAGTTGATTACTTCTTATTTTTCTTACCAATTGTGAATGTTGGTGTGAAACAAATTAATGAAGCTTCTGAATCATCCCTATTCTGTGTTTTATCTAGTCACATAAATGGATTAATTACTAATTATAATTTCAGTTGAGACTTTCTAATTGGTTTTACTGAAACATTGAGGGAACACAAATTTATGGGCTTCCTGATGATTCTTCTAGGCATCATGTCCTATAGTTTGTCATCCCTGATGAATGTAAAGTTACACTGTTCACAAAGGTTTTGTCTCCCTTTCCACTGCTATTAGTCATGGTCACTCTCCCCAAAATATTATATTTTTTCTATAAAAAGAAAAAAATGGAAAAAAATTACAAGTCAATGGAAACTATTATAAGGCCGTTTCCTTTTCACATTAGATAAATTACTATAAAGACTCCTAATAGCTTTTCCTGTTAAGGCAGACCCAGTATGAAATGGGGATTATAGCAACCATTTGGGGGCTATATTTACATGCTACTAAATTTTTATAATAATTGAAATAATTTTAACATGTATAAAAAATTCTCATAGGAATTAAATGTAGTCTCCCTGTGTCAGATTGCTCTTTCATAGTATAACTTTAAATCCTTTCTTCAACTTCAGTCTTTGAAGGTAGTTTTAATTCTGCTTGTGACATTAAAGATTATTTGGGCCAGTTATAGCCTAGTAGGTGTTGAAGAGACCAAGGTTGCATGGCCAGGCCCTGTGTGAACCTTTGAGCTTTCATAGAGAGTTTCACAGCATGGACTGTGTCCCCGTGGTCATCCAGTGTTGTCATGCATTGGCTGGTCAAAATGGGGAGGGACTAGGACAGTTTGGATAGGTCAACAAGATACATTCTCACTCTGTGGTGGTCCTGCTGACAAATCAAGAGCATTGCTTTTGTTTTTTAAGAAAATGAACTCTTTTTTTAAAATTACTTTTAAATATTAACTCAAAAGTTGAGATTTTGGGGTGGTGGTGTGCCAAGACATTAATTTTTTTTTCAAACAATAAAGTGAAAAAGTTTTACAATCTCTAGGTTTGGCTAGTTCTCTTAACACTGGTTAAATTAACATTTCATAAACACTTTTCAAGTCTGATCCATATTTAAGAATAATGCTTTAAAAATAAATATTAATAAAAATCCTTTTGATAAATTTAAAATGTTACTTATTTTAAAATATATGAAATGAGATGGCATGGTGAGGTGAAAGTATCACTGGACTAGGAAGAAGGTGACTTAGGTTCTAGATAGTTGTCTTTTAGGACTCTGATTTTGAGGACATCACTTACTATCCATTTCTTCATGTTAAAAGAAGTCATCTCAAACTCTGTTTTTTTACACCTATGTGATTTATATTCCGTTTACATGAGGATACACTTATTTGTCAAGCTCAGCACAATCTGTAACTTTTTAACCTATGTTACACCATCTTCAGTGCCAATCTTGGGCAAAATTGTGCAAGAGGTGAAGTTTATATTTGAATATCCATTCTCGTTTTAGGACTCTCCTTCCATGTTAGTGTCATCTTGCCTGCCTACCTTCCACATGCCCCATGACTTGATGCAGTTTTAATACTTCTAATTCCCCTAACCATAAGATTTACTGCTGCTATGGATATCTCCATGAAGTTTTCCCATTAAGTCACATCAAAATACCCTATATCTTCCTTCCTCAGGGCTCGAGAATCTGACAGATACCATAATGGGATTTGACCTAATCACTAATTTTCAGGTGGTGGCCGATCCTTTGAATATCTCTGCTGCCCAATCCATTAGCGACAGTAGGATTTTTCAGACCTGGTATGAATAGACAGAACCCTATCCTGTGGAAGGAGAATTTAATAAAGATAGTACTGAAAGAATTCCTAAGGTAATCTACAACTAGGACTACTCCTGGTAACAGTATACATTCCATTGTTTTAGTAACCAGAAATGCTTTTTTTTTTTTTTTTTTGGTGTCAGAGTCTCACTCTGTCACCCAGGCTGGAATGCAATGGTGCCATCTCGGCTCACTGCAACCTCCATCTCCCAGGTTCAAGCGATTCTCGTGCCTCGGCATCCTGAGTAGCTGGGATTACAGGCATGTGCCACCACACTTGACTAATTTTTGTAGTTTTAGGAGAGACAGGGTTTCACCCTGTTGGCCAGGCTGGTCTCGAACTCCTGACCTCAAGTGATTCACCCGCCTCAGCCTCATAAAGCTGTTTTGCAGAACTCATTTATTCAGCAAATATTTATTGAGTGCCTACCAGATGCCAGTCACTTCACAAGGCACTGGGTATATGGTATCCCCAAACAAGAGACATAATCCTGGTCCTTAGCTAGTGCTAGCGTGGTCTGTAGTATCTGAGTAAGGCTTTTAGCCCATGGCCCAGAGATAACACAGTGTGTATTTTAGTTTTGCAAAGAGGGGTTTGGTCCCTGTGCCTGCTCTATAATTGTTTTGCTATGATTCCAGTGAAACTCTTTGATTGAGCTACTTTATGTAAATCACTTCATTGTTTAAAGGAATAAACTTGATTATATATTTTTTTTAATTTGGCATAACTATGTGATTCTATTGAGACAGTTACTGTACACATTAAGGTGTATGTCAGATATTCATATTGAAATTCCCAAATGTGTAATATTCCAGTTTTCTCTGCATAAATAATTAAAATATACTTAAAAATTAATAGTTTTATCTGGGTACAAATAAACAGGTGCCTGAACTAGTTCACAGACAAGGAAACTTCTATGTAAAAATCAGTATGATTTGAATTGCTATGCTAAACTCCAGATCTTTGGAACATTGTTTAGATAGGGTGTTAAGACTTACACAGTACCTCTTGTTTCTACACAGAAAGAAATGGCCATACTTCAGGAACTGCAGTGCTTATGAGGGGATATTTAGGCCTCTTGAATTTTTGATGTAGATGGGCATTTTTTTAAGGTAGTGGTAATTACCTTTATGTGAACTTTGAATGGTTTAACAAAAGATTTGTTTTTGTAGAGATTTTAAAGGGGGAGAATGCTAGAAATAAATGTTATCTAATACCGCCTTAAAGATAAAAATCCTTGTTGAAGTTTGTTTTTTTTTTTTTTTTTTTAAATAAATTACATAGTCTTAGGCATTAACATGTTTGTGGAAGAATATAGCACACATATATTGTATCATTTGAGTGAATATTCCCAAATAGGCATTCTAGGCTCTATTTAACTGAGTCACACTGCATAGGAATTTAGAACCTAACTTTTATAGGTTATCAAAACTGTTGCCTCCATTGCACAATTTTGTCCTAATACATACATAGAAACTTTGTGGGGCATGTTAAGTTACAGTTTGCACGAGTTCATCTCATTTGTATTCCATTGATTTTTTTTTTTCTTCTAACCATTTTTTCTTCAAACAGTATATAACGTCGGGGGATTTTTTTTTAGATAGAAATCTTTGTCAAAAAGTAATGATTTCTTGATAATTATGTAGTAATGTTTTTAAGAACCCAGCAGTTATTTAATAACTTCTGTGTTAATACTGGATAGCATGAATTCTGCATTGAGAAACTGAATAGCATACAACTGATAGCTGTCTGTCAGAAAATGAAAATTTCTTTCTAAAGATACCCACATGAGTTCTTGAAGAATAGTCATAACTAGATTAAGATCTGTGTTTTAGTTTAATAGTTTGAAGTGCCTGTTTGGGATAATGATAGGTAATTTAGATGAATTTAGGGAAAAAAAAGTTATCTGCAGAAATTTTGAGGGCCCATCTCTCCCCACCACACCCACATAGAGCTAACTGGGTTACAATGTTTTATCCGAAAGTTTCCAATTCCACTGTCTTGTGTTTTCATGTTGAAAATACTTTTTTGCATTTTTCCTTTGAGTGCCAATTTCTTACTAGTACTATTTCTTAATGTAACATGTTTACCTGGAATGTATTTTAACTATTTTTGTATAGTGTAAACTGAAACATGCACATTTTGTACATTGTGCTTTCTTTTGTGGGACATATGCAGTGTGATCCAGTTGTTTTCCATCATTTGGTTGCGCTGACCTAGGAATGTTGGTCATATCAAACATTAAAAATGACCACTCTTTTAATTGAAATTAACTTTTAAATGTTTATAGGAGTATGTGCTGTGAAGTGATCTAAAATTTGTAATATTTTTGTCATGAACTGTACTACTCCTAATTATTGTAATGTAATAAAAATAGTTACAGTGACTATGAGTGTGTGTTTATTCATGGAATTTGAATTGTTTGCCCCGAAATGGATATGGAATACTTTATAAGCCATAGACACTATAGAATACCAGTGAATCTTTTTATGCAGCTTTTAAGTTAGAAATATCCTTTATTTCTAAAAGGTGCTGTGGATATTATGTAAAAGTGTGTTTGCTTAAACTTAAAACCATATTTAGAAGTAGATGCAAAACAAATCTGTCTTTATGACAAAATAATAGATAACATTATTTATTTCCTTTTATCAAAGAAGGTAATTGATACACAACAGATGACTTGGTTTTAGGCCCAAAGGTAGCAGCAGCAACATTAATAATGGAAATAATTGAATAGTTATGTATGTAATGCCAGTCACCAGCAGGCTATTTCAAAGTCAGAATAACTCCACACATATTATTTCTATAACTACATTTAAATCATTGTCAGAAACTTTGTTTTGGAGTGAACCTTGAGTATGTGCTGTTAATGTATCAAATTGGGTGAAAAAAAAAAGGGATTCCTTTCAAAAGTTAAGAGAAATAAGAAATTATTTTGCTGATTAAATATTCAGTAAATGGCATTCTCTTGTCAGTAAAATGGAGAAATAAGCTAAAAATAATTGGCTAAGTCCTATTAAGTTACAGGATTAAGTGTATTGTATTTTCATTCAAAATTGGGTGTTCATTAATTTATAATCGGTAGTATAGCTAAATTGCTATGTTTGTATCAAAATTGAGCATTAAGTTGCTGATAATTTCTCAGCATGAACAGAAGTTGAAACCTATTTAGTTCAGTAGGGCAGCTCAGGGATTTTTTACACAATATGTATATCTTCCCATTTTAAGTTAGAATTAATTCACATTATCTGGTACACATAAACAGCTGGCACTGATTGTCAGCTAAATTAAAGTAGTAATGATCAATGGCTGTTTGTCAGCTAAATTAAAGTAGTAATGATCAATTAGTTTTGTTGGTATCTGAATAATAGCGTTGTTTCATAGCTCTGTATTTCCTAAGGAAGTACAAGGCTTCTAGCTCTTTCATTACAAATTCGCCCTGTGCAATAAGTTCTTTGATCTTCTCTGGATTCTTCACATCTTTGTTTTTAAGGAAAATGTTCTTCAAACGCTTTTTAAAATAGTCTGCTCCTTTTGGATAGTCTCGTCCAAGATACAGCAGCTTCAAAAAGAAAGATTATGTATTTCTAAACAATCCATGTCATATAATAACATTTTAATAAAATTGGCAACATAATTACTTACATTTTTATAAAGTTTTAGTACTTCTCCTCTTAAAGAATTGGCCATTTTCATTTACCATGTAAATTATCCACTTTTATGCATAACATGCCTAAAGAAAGGAAAATTTTTTGCAGTTAGCTACATTGTAGTCTTAAAAAAATCAAAAAAGGTTATATACACTGAGAAAATAACTTCTGAAAAATTCAGTAAATATTTCTTGAGAACTTTTTTGTTCCACGTACTGGGATATAGTTATAAACACTTCAGATAAAATAACCTGCTGTCACAGAATTGACTTTTTCCTACGAGACACTAAGCAAAGACGACGATGATTATGAAAGGTCAGATGAAGGAAATAAGATGAGAAAGTGGATTGTTACAGATAGGTACGTGTACCTCCTTTTATGCCACAGTGGAATGAGCTAGATTTAAATCCTAGTTGCATAACGTACAGATTAATTAACCATGCTGAGCCTGAGTTTTCTTTATCAAACGAGACATTATCTTTACCCTGCTCTCAAGGCAAGACCAGATCCACTTGAAGGACATTGAGCAGAAGCCTGGTCAAATCTTGATGGCTGCTTATCCAAAGGGAGGCTAAAAACTAGCAGAAACTGGGTGAGTTAAACAGGTTGGAATAGATGGGCAGTAAGATTGGTGGTGAAGAGGCCAAATGAACAACCTGTAAGAGGGTGTCCCTGAGGAACAGGTGACATCCAATGGGATAAATCATGCTTCTTTATGTGTAATATGTTAATGCTACTGAGTAGAGGAGGCTCCTTAAAGGCATCCTGACAGCCTAAACCTAGAAAATAATTCCCACTACCTGTTACAGTTGAATAGTAAGCTCTTAACATTGCATCCCTTCAGGTGGATGCAACTGAAATTTGTTCCATTGTGATTGATGTTAATTTTGATTACCCAATTAGAGTCGTATTTGCTAAGATTGTCCATTATAAAATTGTTTCTCTGAGGAACCTAGTCCTTTTAATGGAGAATAGCATTTAGAAACTATAATCTGGATGGAATGTTTTAGAAACCAAGGTCTGGGTGCTAGAAATGCTAATCACCATGGGACTGTCACTGTTCCCAGGTCCTCTAAGTGACAAAGCTGCAAGTGTACATACATGCAGATTTAGGTGTTGTGTGTGTGTATGACTTTTATATTAATCTCCATATAATCTACTACCTAACATTCAATTGCAATACTACAGGGTTTATTTTCATTTCCCCTCTTTACATGGGTTTAATACTCTTGCCTAACAATGAGAAGTCTGGTTCCCACTTGTCCTTAATAAATTTACTTTTTATAATCATCACCCCTCCTCTCACTATGTAATCAAATTCCTCTTGCTCTCACCATTCAGTGCACACACACTACTCTCTGAGCTCTGCCACCCAATGCCAGAGTGCCACTGCCACCATCCCACATGCATGGTCTTCTCTTCATCCCCCTTTTTTCCAACCTACCCTTCTTGGGCTCAAGCAATTTACACTGCACCACTTCCTCCCTCCTGGATAAGGCTCACCTTTTGTTCCCATTCCAAAAACCTGTGCCACCATTTCCTTCACCCTAACAAGATCCCCTCCTCATCCCCTGCTAGGCTGCTGCTGTGCACAAGTCCCTACCCCCAAAGGCCCTCATTGCATTTGGGCTCCAGTACCCCCTCTCTGGGCTACTACCTTGCCAGTCTTTCTCTCGCCCCCCACCCCCCTTCCCCAGATGCCTACCTTGCTCAGTGCCACATAATGACTTTTAGGCTGAATTACTCTGAAGGGCAAGCAGGAAACAACTTTTTTTTTTTTTTTTTTTGAGACGAATTCTCGCTCTGTCACCAGGCTGGAGTGCAGTGGTGCTATCTCAGCTCACTGCAACCTCCACCTCCCTGGTTCAAGCAATTCCCCTGCCTCAGCCTCCCAAGTAGCTGGGACTACAGGTGTGTGCCACCACGCCTGCCTAATTTTTTTTTGTATTTTAGTAGAGACGGTGTTTCACCATGTTGGCCAGGATGGTCTCGATCTCCTCACCTCCTGATCTACCCACCTTGGCCTCCCAAAGTGCTGGGATTACAGGCATGAGCCACTGCGCCCGGCCGCAACTTGTATTTTTAAAATAGCCTTTTAGATCAGTTTTAAGGGTTATTTTATAGTTAACTAGCAGAAAGTGTGGATTAAAATGACAGTACCATACTCAGTTAAAAATCATTATGGATTAAAATTGCAGTACCATACTCAATTAAAAATCATTGTGCTACATAATTTAAGTTCTCCTGTTACTCTCCTGTTTTGGTTGGACCCCGTAGTACAATAGTGTAGATTCTCATTGTGACTTCACCTGCCCCTTTAGGCGTTTTGCAAAATTTACACCTTTTACAATTTTAAAGTCAGGGTACCAGTGCCTTCATGTATTTCATCTTAAATTTTTATATGTATTAGACATAGAAACTGCATAAAATATGAATGTACAAATATACATCTGGGTACCCATCGTTCAAGTTATGAAACAGAAAATTAGAAGTCTTAGAAGCCCCGTGCCCCTCTCCAATTGCTTCTCCTTCCCCATCTCTACCAAGACAGCCTCTAGTGACTTCCTGCTTATTCTCTTTAGTTTTCCCACCACTCATGAACATTGCCCTAAATATTTAATTCCAGCAATTTGAGCAGCAAGCACGAATCTAGCAAGGAAAGGGGCAACAATACTGCTGTTAATTAAAAGCAAACAGTCCTAGTCTGGCTTTACCTTCTCCAGGCTTTATGAATCCCTTCTGGAGATGTTAATTTGCAATGTCATGAGTGAATACTGGGCTCCTCACAACTGAAGCATGTGGGAAGATCAGAGTGTAGAACTGATACTTGATTTCCAGCCAATACATAGCAAAAATGGGAAGAAGGAAGACTATTTTCTGCTTTAAGCTCACCAACGCCCAACATCAGCTTTCAGGAATAGGTTGAAAAAGAAGGGTAAAAGTGAGTGTCCTCAGTTGGTCCAGTCAGCATAGCACAGAAGACAGCAGGAATTTCATCACCACATGGTCAAGGCAAATGGCAGTAAGAATCTGAGCCAGGCTTGCCTAGGCATAATGTCCTCAGGTTAAAAAGATGGTACAATGGCAGCAGGGATCTTGGTGGTAACCACCACCAATGTGAGTCATACTGCTTGATTCTGGACTGACTGCTCTCTACATCAAGAAGCACAACTGTAGTACTGGAATCTCACTTGACCATGCTCCCAGAAATTCCTTTTGCCTATCCTCTATGTTGATTATCCCATTTTCTACATTTCAAAGTGTTCCATTTACTGGTTTTATTTTTGTTTCTGCGGAGCACATCCTAACTTCTTGAAAAGGGTACATGGAAGGTAAATGAGACCCTGGATGTCTAAAAATGGCTGGCTCCCTCTACTTGTTTGATAGCTTGTCTGAGTACAGAATTGAAAGCTGGAAATAATTTTCTTTCAACATTTTGAAGCAGTCGCTCATCTGTTTGCTTTTACCATTGCTATTAAGAAGTTCAAAGCAGTCCTGGTAAGTGATCCTCTGGATGGATGTATTTTTTCTCTCTCCCCAGAAACTTACAGAATCCTCTCCATGAAGATTTTGAAATATTAGTGATGTGTTGATAATGGATTTATTTTCATCCATTGTGCTGGACACTCAGTTGGCCCTTGCAATCTGGACACTTGTTTCCTTCAATTTGGGAAAAAATTTTAAATGATTTCATTCATGATTTCCCCCCTCCTCCATTTTCTTTTTTCTCCCTTCTTGGAACTTTTATTATTTGGATGTTTGAACTTCTAGACACGTTCTCTTCCTTTTTTCTCTACTATTTTCCATTTGTCTTTTTTTTAAGCATGGAGTTTTGCTCTTGTCACCCAGGCTGGAGTGCAATGGCCTCATCTCGGCTCACTGGAACCTCCGCCTCCTGGGTTCAAGCGATTCTCCTGCCTCAGCCTCCCGAGTAGCTAGGATTACAGGCATCTGCCACTAAGCATGGCTAATTTATGTATTTTTAGTAGAGATGGGTTTTCACCATGTTGGCCAGGCTAGTCTCGAACTCCTGACCTCAGGTGATCCACCCTCCTTGGCTTCCCAAAGTGCTGGGTGGGATTACAGGTGTGAGCCTCTGTGCCCGGCCTTTTATTCAGTTTTATGGGGGATTTTCTCATTTTCATCTTTCAAGTGTTCTATTGAGTTTTTCACTTCTGCTCTTCCTGGACAGTTAATTTTGACCATTCAGATTGCTCTCAGCATAGCTGGAGACTACTACAGAGATGTTAAAAATACTAAGAAGTTAATAATAGAGTAGCCTGGGAATGGGAGTACGGGCTGGAGACCAGGAAGGAATCAAAGATGCACGAGGCAACCTTTGTGGATAACGGATATATTTATTGCCTTGATTGTGGTGATGGCTTCATTGTGTGTGTGCGTATACACATGCGTATATGTGTATATATACATATCTATATAGTTAGGATACTACATAGTATATAGTATGTAGTTTTCCCACCACTTAGCCCTGTTCTTAGACTTTTGCTGGCATTTCTATTCTTTGCAAAAATATATTAAAATATATATTTACAAATAGAGGTAGCCATTTTCAGTATATAGTATACTATGGTATATATATATCTACTATGTAGTAGACAGTAGATATATATAGTATATAGTACATAGTAATTCCTTTTATTTTTGTTTCCATGGAAACAAAAATTATATGTATACTCTATATGTATACTATAGGTAGTATATATACTATATAGCACATATATATCTATAAATATGCATATATAGATGTGTATATATGAACCAAATTTATCGAATTATGCTTTATAAGTGTAATTCAGTGTCAATTCTATTTCAGCAAAACTTAAAAAAATAATAGAAATGCCAGCCAAAGTCTAAGAACAGAGCTAAGAGATGCTGAGGTAACACATGGAAGTAGAAATCGATCTAAACCACAAGGCTGCCAATTCGTGGGTAGGAGAGGTGACTCTACCTGCCCCCAGTCAATGGCTGCACAGAACTTGGGGTATGCCTCGCTGGGGAGGGAACCCTGGGAATATACACTTGAATCAGTGAAAAAATCTGAAAGGCACTTGCCACCAGCATAGCAGTGAAGCCATGACCTTTTCTTGCTGAAGGTCATACATGTACTGCTTTTCTGGCTCCTCTTTCGTAGGGAAAAAAAATCACACAGGAACCAACATTACTTCTACATTAATACTTGTAAAATTGTACTTACTACTAGTTAATGAGCTAATTCACATAACAAGCATACTATGTAGGCATTTTTTTCCTTCCAAGTGCACTGATTCTTGCTTTCTTGAAATTTTCTGTTGTTTTACACTTCAAATAGCTTTTCTGCTTGCTTTCGTCTCTATCACTTCTGAGCTTTCTTCCAAAGTCTGGTCATTCTTTTCTGTCTACTCTTATGAGTGAAAAGACACAAAAGCTTTTTAGATCTGTATATATGGGTGAAGCATACAGACTCTGGGCTTCACTTAGGGTGCTCTGAGCGGGCCTTTACTGAGGAACGTCTGATGTCAGTATCTTGGATTGCTCCTCCTGGGCTGGGCAGTTCCTCAGAGTTCAGTCTTCCAGTTTTCTAAGCATTTGCCTATTAAACATTAAAAAGTGAAAGAGGAATGCAGGCCCTGTATCCAGCATTATTATACCTAAATTCACTTAATTTTGTTTCCAGTGTGCTTCTCTAGAATGCCTGAGGGTGCCCCAGTCCAGGGACTAGTATTACTTTGTCCAGAAACCTCTAGTCTTTTATGGGAGTAAGGGGGTAGAGTTACTTAGAGGTGTTTCTCAAATAGCTTTCATGTAGTCCACTTCCAATTTCAGGGCCCCTGTTTCAGTGCCTTTTGAGAATTCTGCAGAGTAAATTGGGTTTTTCTGGTGTGCTAAGTCACATTCATTCACCTGTTTTCCAGCTTCTGAAGTTTTATTGCTGTTATCTCCTGTCCCGATTTTTCCAATTTATTTTTATATCATTTTACTATAGATTTAGTAATTTTGGAAGGGAGTAAAATTAGATGAGGGTATTTAACCCACTATATTAACTACTTCATTTTTTAAACTACTTTTTCTTTTGGCAGACAGCCATTAGCAGTGTGAAATAATCTTACTAAGAATGATTCTTAGGCTGGGCATGGTCGCTTGTACCTGTAATCTCAGCACTTTGGTAGCCCAGGGCCGGAGGATGGCTTGAGGTCAGGAGTTTGAGACCAGCCTGGGCAACATAGTGAGACCTTGTCTCTACTAAAAGTAAAAAAATATTAGCCAGGCATGGTGGCGTGTGCCTGTAGTCTCAGCTATTTGGGAGGCTGAGGTGGGAGGATCGCTTGAGCCCAGGAGGTTGAGGCTGTAGTGAACCATGATTATTCCACCACTCCAACCTGGGCAAAATTCATTTTGAGACCCTGTCTCAAAACAAAACAAGCAAGCAAACAAAAAACACCTCTTGGGAGCCATGTTCTTTTCACATAATTTAAAATTAAATCTACATAGAAGTAATTTCAAATTACAAACTATAACCTGTTTAATGCCTAACAGCACACCTTCATTTAATTCACAATTTGTAACTTGTGAAAGCTTTTAGGGACCTGGCTTAAGTTGTCCTTTTTAGTTGTTGGTCTTTTTACAAATTATGTATTATAAAAGACTTGCCTAGCAAAAATGTAACTAGTGTGGCTAAGGTAAATTTGTTCTTCTTTGATATGTTAACTTACATGAATTAATGCAGTTTATCTTTTTTTTTTTTTTGAGATGGAATCTTGCTCTGTTGCCCAGGTTGGAGTGTAGTGGTGTGATCTTGGCTCACTGCAACCTCCCTGTCCTGGGTTCAAGCGATTCTCATCTCAGCCTCCAGAGTAGCTGGGATTACAGGTGCCCGCCACCACGCCCGGTTAATTTTTTGTATTATTTTAGTAGAGACAGGGTTTCACCGTGTTATCCAGGATGGTCTCGATCTCCTGACCTCGTGATCTGCCCGCCTTGGCCTCCCAAAGTGCTGGGATTACAGGTGTGAGCCACCATGCCAGGTAATGCAGTTTATCTTTATGCAGTTGACCTTGAAGCATTTAGGTTTATTTTAGCCATTAAGAGAAACAGGTCTCCTTGGGTTCACAATGTAGTGAATAAACAATTTGAGTTCAGCAGGGCCTGAGGCTGCTCCTGAACTCTGCACGAAGTCATGGAGGTTACTGTTTTAAGTAAAGAGCCAAGAGTTAAGGACTAAGAGAAGCCCCCTATTATTCTGAAAACTTGGATGTGTGCGCTGGATGAGACAGCGGTTGCAGTCCCCATTGATAGTTTTTCCCCGCTGCCATTCTAGGCTAAGGAGTTAAGACTTTACCAGTTTCAGTTCTAGGCTAGTGGAGAATTGTCATTTTACTGGGGGTTATGGTGCTCAAAGTTGTTAACCATTCTTCCCCACGGGGTAGATACAGTGAGAGCTTCAGTAAAGCCTTTCCTCTAAAAGCCCACTATTTTAAGGTAACTTGGGATTACTGTACTGTCTCCTTACCCCCAAGAATCCTAATTTGAGTTGACTGAGGTGTTTTATCATTAAACATTAGTTCTCCTGAAACTAATTTAAAAGGAAACCTTAACTTCCATACCAAACAGCCACGGCAAACTGAGTAAGAACTCTGTACGAAGTCGCTATTAAAATGTTTTTATCTTGCTACCAGGATACGGATGTAAAATGCTAATAACTATTACACAACCTGTAATAGTTACAGGTTACAATGGGGATAACAACACTTTAACCCATAAAGACTAGCTTAGTCCTACTACTTATCTATGAATAATGTATGTAGCCAATAACACTGGAAGGGATCGAGCATTATAAACTTAGAATTCAGAGATGAGAAATGGTGCCAGTAATTTAAAAGTATTTTCAGGTCTCATAATGCTAAAACAGGGTGCCCTACAATTACAGAGAACTCAGTCGGGCTTGAGGAGAACAGCCTCACTTAATTGTAGTTTTCCTGGCGGTGTAAGGTGCCAGCGTTTCTTCGTGTGGGAGGAGACTGAAATTCTGAAGGTTGTGCTACTCATTCGTACAATTAGTCTGTGACCTTGGGAAACTAATGAGTATTTGGGGCCTCACCGATCTTCATGTTAAGGAATATTTTACCCAGGAATTGCTTCATTTTCTATTCTTGTTTAGGGCGCTCTTAGGAAAAAGGACACGTACGCTGCACAGAAAGTAAACAATAGAGCAGAGAGAAGAATCCGAAGGTCAATAATCTTAAAATAAACAACCCTCTGGAGTCAACTTACTTCCCTCTTTAAATTGCCGAATGAGCCCCATCCCCCTGCTGGCTTAAATCGCAGTGGCCCGGGCCGCCCACCGGGTGTCCGCTGCTTGAACCAGTCCCATGCCGGTTCCCTTCTCGAAACCCTCCCAGAAAGACTGAGCCCCAACACACTCTAGGAAATAAACCGTCAAGGTCAGGAGACGCTCAGAACCCTCTTCCCACAGCCGGTGGTCCTCGCCCAGAGCGTATTTCGCCTGCAGACCCAAGGATCCGGGAAACGGAACAAAACTCCCCGGCGCCGGCACTCACGCACTTTCCGGCACGCCGGAGCCGCAAAACCTTCGACCGCTTCGACTCCTCTGTCCGTCTACTGCGAAGCGCGTTGGGGTTTGGGGAGGAGGGCAACCTGTCAGTAAAGGAGGCGGGGCGCCGGCCGGAAGAGCCTGCTGCGGCTGCGCTCTTTTCCTGGAGCGCAAGTGGGCGGGACCTGTCGTCCGGACAACCCGGGAGCGTTTGTTCACATAATTTCAGCTTCGACTCTGCTGACTACTGCGGTGGAACTTGACTCCTAATGGTGAGCAAGGCAAATGAGGCAGATAGGTGGAGGGGCGACCATTGATTCTGCCTCACCAGTGTTAAATGATCTAATAAGAGCCGGTCATATTTTACAGAGAAGCGGGTCGGTTTGGGAAATAACTCATACCTCGGGGTGGGTCGGCCCTCTTCTCAGCAATAGCTTTCCTTACCTGGATCGGGCGGACGGGTAGGAGTCCCAAACCGGTTTCTGCAAACGGGAGATGGTCAAAGCTGTCACACGGTATCCTGATCTCGAATGTTGCTGAGCTTGAAAATTGGTCCCAACTTAGTAACTTCCAGTAATGATAGACGTTCCCACTAAATTCTCTTATAGCAACTTGGCGGAAATGTTTTAGTACCTCTCCAGCAGTTAATTAAAAGCTAATGCAGTTTACTCTGCTTTGGAAAGATATTTTATGTCGTCTTTTGTGGGACTATGAATTGTTTTGTGATTCAAGGTACTCATCCTGCGTTAAATATGATAAAGCTTCTCATTTTGTTTTTCTGCACTCCTCAACTGCCATGTTTTCACCAAGGAGACAGGCCAACATGTAGCTATGAGAGTATCTCTGTCTGGTTTTCTTAAATGTGGTTTCCATCAAGACATTTTCTGTAATTAAAAGCAGAGGAAGTGGAGAATGTCATTACTTAATTATTTAATTCATTAGTTAAGGGAAAATATGGAGTGCATTCTTTATACTTGGCACTAGGCTAGAAGTCAAGAATTCCAAGAAGAACATGATGACAGCTCTGCTTATGGGATACAGATTAAACAAATTAATTACAATACAGTTTTACAACTGTAACAATTGAAGTATCTAAAATGGGGTAACACAAAGTTGGAAATGATGAAATCAGTGAGGGGAAACAACGTTAAGGAAAGAGTGGTGCTTTTCAACCTGTTTTAAAGTATAAATACGAGTTTTCCACAAATGGTGGGAAGAAATAGGAATGGAGGCCTGGCACGGTGGCTCACCCCTGTAATCCCAGCACTTTGGGAGGCTGAGGCAGGCGGATCACAATGTCAGGAGTTCGAGACCAGCCTGGACAACATGGTGAAACCCCGTCTCTACTAAAAATACAAAAATTAGCCTGGCGTGGTGGCACGCGCCTGTAATTCCAGCTACTCAGGAGGCTGAAGCAGGAGAATCGCTTGAACCCAGGAGGCGGAGGTTGCAATAAGCCGAGATTGTGCCACTGCACTCCGGCCTGGGCTACACAGCGAGACTCAAAAAAAAAAAAAAAAAAGAAATGGGGAGTGGAGAGCATTCCTGGCAGAATGCAAATGGAACCTAAGTCAATTTACAATTGCTAATAAATTGGGAGAACAGTAAGCACTTACTTGTTACCTTCCAATTTGTTACCTAAGTTTCTTCTTCGTCTTAGATTCTTCTCCCAGTGTTTCTCAAAGTGTAGCCCCTGTAAGCACTTACTTGTTACCTTCCAATTTGTTACCTAAGTTTCTTCTTCTTCTTAGATCCTTCTCCCAGTGTTTCTCAAAGTGTGGCCCCTGGAACATTTACTTCTAATGCACCCAGAGTACTTGTTAAAAATACAGATTCCAGGAACCCACTCAACTCCAAATCTACTGTATTAGTTTCCTAAGGCTGCCAAGTAAGGAATTGCCACAAACTAAGTGCTTAAAGAAAAGCATTTTATTGTCTCGCAGTTCTGGAGACTAGAAGACCAAGATCAAAGTGTCAGTAGGTCTGTGATACCTCTGAGGGCCTTAGGGAGAGATCTGTTCAGACCTTTCCTGGCTTCTGGTAGTTCCTTGGTTTGTGGCAACAAAACTTCATTCTTTACATGGCATTCTCCATCTGAGTATATATATTCAAGTTTCCTTTATTATTATTATCATTATATAAGGACACAAATCATATTGGATTAGGGGCCCACGCTATTCAGTGTGGCTTCATCTTAATTTAACTAATAAAATCAGTAATGACCTTATCTCCCAGTTAGGTCAAATTCTGAAGTACTGGGGATCAGGTTTCAACATATGAATTTTTTTTTTTTTTTCTTTGAGACTGTCTCGCTTTGTCACCCAGGCTGGAGTGCAGTGGCACCATCATGGCTTACCGAAGCCTCAGCCTCCCTGGTTCAAGCAATCTTCTCAACTCAGCCTCCTGAAGAGCTGGGAGTACAAGGCACGCACCACCACACCCAGCTAATTTTTAATTTTTTTTCAGAGATAGGGTCTCGCTTTGTTGCCCAGGCTGCCCTCAAACTCCTGGGCTCAAGTGATTCTCTCCCACTTTGACCTCCCAAAATGCTGGGATTACAGGACCAAGCCAGTGCACCCAGCCAAAATAGGATTTTTTTTTTTTTTTTTTTTTTGAGGCAGAATTTTGCTCTGTTGCCCAGGCCGGAGTGCAATGGTGAGATCTCAGCTCACTGAAACCTCTGCCTACCGGGTTCAAGCAATTCTCCTGCCTCAGCCTCCCGAGTAGCTGGGATTACAGGCTCATGCCACCACACCCAGCTAATTTTTGTATTTTTAGTAGAGACGGGGTTTCACCATGTTGGCCAGGCTGGTCTTGACCTCAGGTGATGCACCCGCCTCTGCCTCCTAAAGTGCTGAGATTACAGCCGTGAGCCACTGCACCCAGACAACGTGTAATTTTTTGAGGGATACAATTCAATCCATAACATCTACTGAACCACAATGTAGGAAGAGAAGTGAGTGTATACACATTTAGTCCATAAATATGCATTTCTAACAAGCTTCCCGTATGATTCTTATGCCCTCTGAACTTTGAGAACTACTTCACTACATGGTGAGTAGCTCTTATGACATATAGGAGGAGTGAGGATATGTACTTACCCCAAACCTGATTTATATTAAAAGCACAAGTGAGAAGTGACAGTTTGCCCCTCTTTAAAACATGGCTACTTGAGAACCGGAGCAATGCTATTTACATATTCAGCTGTTTAGTACTTATTTCACGATGGAAGTATGTTAACTATTAATTGATAGAAACTATGATAAAAATAGAATCTATTTGTAAAAATTATATGGCAGCAAAGTCTCTACTATTCTATCTCCAGTGCCTCAGAGTGCCTTGTGTGTAAATCATTAATTAATATCTGCTGAGTGAATTACTGTAATATATGCACTCTTCAAGAAGATGGAATCTACTGATCTGTGTTAAACTTCAGTTTTACATGGTATAATCTTGTGGGATGAACCAATATTTCCCACCTATAACTCTTTAAATATGTAAAGTGTCTTGTATTCACATGATCTCCTACATATTCCTTACCAGAAATCTGATAAACACATGAGCCTAATCAGGAAAGTATAAGTGGTATTATTGTAACTATGAATCTTTTTTGAAATGCTGTGCTTTCCAAAATAATTTCCAGAAAAGAATAGATTTGCCTTAAAACACGTTGCTGAATAGAATCTTCATTTTATCATAGCTTTGCCTGCTTTATTTATTTGTTTGTTTATTTATTTATTTATTTCTGAGTCTTGCTCTGTCACCCAGGCTGGAGTGCAGTGGTGTGATCTTGGCTCACTGCAACCCCCGCTTTCCAGGTTCAAGTGACTCTCCTGCCTCAGCCTCCTGAGTAGCTGGGACTACAGGCACATGCCACCACGCCCGGCCAATTTTTTGTATTTTTAGTAGAGACGGGGTTTCACCGTGTTAGCCAGGATGGCCTCCATCTCCTGATCCTGTAATCCACCTTCCTCAGCCTGCCAAAGTGCTGGGATTACAGGTATGAGCCACCACACCCAGCCACCTGCTGTATTTATTTATTCATTTTTTGGAAATGGGGTCTTGCTCTGCTGTCCAGGCTGAATGTCATGGCTCACTGCAGCCTTGACCTCCTGGGCTCAAGTGATCTTCCCACCTCAGCCTCCCAAGTAGCTGGGACCACAGGCATGTGCCTCCATGCTTGGCTAATTTTTAAAAATTTTTTGTAGAGACAGGGTCTTCCTGTGTTGCCTGGGCTGGTCTTGAACTCTTGGGCTCAAGTGATCCTCCCGCCTTGGCCTCCCTGAGTGCTGAAATTACAGGAGTGAGCCACTGTACAAGGCTGCTTTGTGTGCTTTAAATAGCTGATTCCCTTTCTATAAAAATCATCAATCTAACTTTACAGAAAGGTTATTTCTTTATGAGATCATTCCCACACTTGCAAATTTGACATTAGCGCACACAATTGGTCAATAATTTATTGTCCTTTGAACCCTTTAAACTAGTGCCTTCTTGACTAGTACTCTGTTTAGTAACAGGGCATTTCATTAAACATAGATCATTGATTGACCTAAGAAATAGTGTAAAATCTACATACAAAAAAAATGCTTCAGTAGGTGAACTTAGTTTTCCTATACTTATTTGTAGTTTTGTCTGAACTGTTTTTAAAAAAGCATTTTATTTTGGGATAATTTTAGATTTGCAAGGAAACTTACAAAGATGGTACAGAGAGTTCCCTTATGCCCTTTACCAAGTTTCTTCTAATTTTAACATCTTACATAATCATGATACTTTTGTATCAGAATTCTCTTTAAAATTGATCAATTCTTTTGTTTTCCAACTTTTAGGGTCCTAAAGCAAAAAAGGTATGTAGAATTTTTTTCAAAATAGATAGTTGTGTAGTCAGTTACAGTGTGTGAACAGAATATTTACAGAATTATAGTTTTAGTTTGTACAGTTTACTAAGCTTGCTTTTTAGACATTAATGTGGTTTAAATCATGGAATCATCCTTTATAACAATACGACACATGTCAAATTTGACATAAGAGAGTTTAATTTCACGAATACTTTAAAAAATAGCTTTTAATTTTTACTTGTGTGTAGATTTGCAGCTTTTTGTTAATTCTGCTCTAGAAAATGTTGGATTAG